TTTAAATTTTATTATTAATATTTATATAGGTTAAAATGTTTAAATTTGTTAGAATAAATTTTTGTTGTAATAAATAATTAACCAATAAATAAAAATAAATAATAAGTATATAGTTAGAATTTTTTATAATTTTGTTAATTTTAAAATAAATCTTATAAAATAATAAAATATAATAAAAAAGTAAAAGAAGAAAATTTTTATCTGATGATGAGATTTAAACATATTTCAAGTAGCGATATCTATGAAATCTTAAGGTGAGAAATTTTTTTTTAAATACTACCAGTGTGAATTAGAATATTTATAAAAAGTTTTTAATATAATAAAAAAAATTTTTTTTGTTATAAAATAGTAAATAAAAATGAACTATTAATAAAAAATGATAAAAAATAAGAAAAAAATTATCCGATGATGGGATTATAAAAATATTTTGAGTAGTGATGTTCTACGAAAATACTAAAAAAAATTTTCTTAATTGAATATTTATAAAAAAAAATCTTCAATATGATAAAATTTTTTCTTTCCTTAAAACAATAAAAAATAATAGTAATTTATTAAAAAATATAAATAAAATTCTAAAGAATAAATAAAAAATGTGCATCAATATATTATCATTTGCATTGTAAACACAATATAGTTTTTTATGAAAAATAAATTCAAGCTTCCGAATATAAGATTTTAAGGTATTCAGAGAAGTGATGCTTAAAAAATCTTTAGACGAGTAACAATTCTTCTAATGTTATCAACGTACTGAAATATTTTAAGAATTATTTTAATAAAATAGTTCAAATTTATTTTTCTTAAATAAATTTGAATAATCAATACGAAATAAAAATAAAAAAACCAAAACTATAATAAACAAAAGAAATCAAAGACATTACCTTTTAAAAACATAAATTAAGATATATTTATCAAAATTAATGGATAATATATAATTAATTAGTATAATTTTAAGTGAGCGTCGTAAATGTATTAATTTTTTTCGATACGTAATCGACTTTCGAATTTAGACTATTTTATAAATTTTAAAATTATCTTTTTAATAAATTTTAATTAATTTTAAAATTTTATTAAAAATTAAATTTTAATAAGTGATCAAATATATCTAATTAATTAAAAAAATTGATAATAATTTTATTATTATTTTTTTTCAAATAACTGTAACGACACAATCAAATTTAAATTTTATGGGTGAGACATATCTTTTCTATCCGGAAATTTTCTTTTCAGATTTTGTGGTTGTCGTCTCTTCTTAATTACAATAAATGCTAGAATTCATCAAAAAAGATAATGCCAGAAGATGGATGTACCATGTCTGAATAAAATAGTCACGTTGTTAAGAGCTAAAACCAACAATAATTTTGATGTGATGGGCTGATTGCTACCTGTGCTTCAAAATGTGAATGGCTAACTTTGAAGCATCAATCCTTTCATTTTTGTCCTCTGCCTTCCATACGGAAATACTGTAGAGGTGTTACGATGAATATTCGTATATCCGAGCTGCCGCGAACAATTTTTTTAAAGTTGTTTCATCGAAAATATCTGTTTATGTTCATCTGTATAATACCATTTAAGTTAATATTCGATTAGCATGACAAGGAAATTAATAAATAAAAATATAATTAATCTTCTAGGTTTAGCATTTTACTATATTGTATATATAATATAATATATATATATATCAATAAATAAAATAGTAACGCGAACCTATTAAAAAAATAGTCAGACGAAATCATTTAGAAAAATCATACTTTTGATCAATTATTTGCGTTTTAATTATGAAGTAGAATCAATAAAATAGTATAGATCAGCTGAATTCTTGATAGGCACCCTACCCTCTTAAAATAAATTTATTTGTGCTTTAATTAATTTTTTTAGAGTGAATTTTTTTAGTATTTTGAAGTTAAAGATTTTGAGGATAATTAACCTTTATTTATTTATTCAAAAGTAAGTTGGAAACCCTTCTACAAAATGAAAATGAATTACAAACCAAACGATAAAAATCAACCATAAGAAACAAACTACAAAACCAAAATCAAATATATAAGTGTTATATTCCAATTAAAAATAATTATAACCATAAGAATTAGTCGATTTAATAAGAAAAATAACTCTCTCTTTATCAATTAGGAATTAATTTTTGTAAGAAATGTTTGGAAAGTAAAATTTTACATGTATAAGATAATGTGCACTCGAATATAACACCTTTATACAAATATATTACGATTCATATTTTTTAAATAAAATTTTTCTAAAGATAAATTCAAATTTTTTTTTTTTTGTTTGCGTCGAGAATTCTTCTAGAGTTCACATTTTTGCATGAGAAAAACACCATCTGCTATTTGCCAAATCATGATGTTACTACTTATGGAATCTTTGGGTGGCATATACAGCTTTTGATTTATTCACCTTGGTTTTGTCCGTCTCAAATAATGTAGTCACGTTGTTGTTGTTCAGAGCTGAAACCAACAATACGAGGGCATCCATTTGTGTTTTATGATAAAAAAAATTCCACAAAGAAGACAAAGTTTGTTTCACGATTGATACTATGAAAAACTCACAAAAAATGAACAAATGTAGGACTATTACTCAACATGCTAGCATCAATAGAGTAGTTTGAACTTCATAAAGTTTTTACATGTGTCCATTTTTTTATTTAATTTTTTATTATAATTATTGTTATAAACAAAATGTGATTATAATGATATAAACGTATATTAAGATATGTAAAAACAAATATTTTAAAATGTAAAACAAAATTTATCCTATAATAAAGCAGGGTAAAATTCTATGAACTTTTGGATGAGAAATTTCAAGGAAGGATTTTATTTGGCAAAATAAAATTTGAAATTATCAAAATTATTAAAATTTAAATGAAGAATTTTAGAGTACTCAAATTCTTTTTTCAAATTTCACCTATGTAGGTGAAATTTGAAAAAAAATTTTGTTTTATAGTAAGAAAGTCAATATTTACTATGTTTCCTTTTTTATGCAACTTTTATTTTTTTAATTATTATTACAAAAACTTATTATAAAGTTTTTTTTTTATATTTTTCATATTATTAGTAATATCTACACAGTTTTACAAATCTAATGACATTTGCATATATTTCTAGTATTTTGTTTTTATTATTTCTAATATTGTTATTTTTTATTATAATTAATTCATATCTTATCAAATTGTAATATTTAAATTTTCTTTTTAAAACATAATTATCTAAACAACACAATTATAAATTTTATTATTTTAAATTGGTGCATTTCAAAATACTAGTATTTCAAAATGCTTCAAATTTTCAAATTTTTTTATTCAAAGTACTTTTAGAGTGTGTTTGGATGGAGCATTTGAAGGAAAATTTTTATTGCAATCAAAATTTTAAAAAATTCAAAAATAAATTTACTTGTTTAGATAAAAATAATAAAAAATTTAAAATTTAACTAAAGTAAATTTTAATAAGTGACTAATTACACCTAATAAAAAAAATATTTGTGGTGACTTTTTTTTAATTTTTTTTTTAAATTTGTCTAGCGATCTTCAAAATCATTACAACAAATTCAATTTTGAAAACTCATAAAAATCAAAGGAATGTCATATTCGAATTGGGTTAGACTTTTAAAGACCTTACAACTTGTTACATTTTGTCCAAATAAAATTAGGTGTCTACATATTTGCATCTATACTCAAATTGTGACTGGGCCGGTGACAAAGATACATTCACTTCCACGTTAGCTTATCTTGTTTATCTAAATTATAATCCTATTTCTTAGCAATCATGCAAACAAAAATACATGACAAGATCATCCACTGGAATCGAGTATAGGGCATTAGCCTCAACCTCAGCTGAAATGGCTTGGATATAAAATTTACTTATAGAACTTGGTTCTAAATCAATTGCTACTTCAATAATTTTTTGCAACAATATTAGGGTTACCCACTTGAGTGTTAATGCAATTATGCATTCTAAGATTAAACACATTGCTATTGACCTTCATTTTGTTTTAAATAGGATGTATAAAAATTTTCTTAAAGTTTCTTATATCTCTAATTCTAAGCAATTAGCTGACTGCTTAACAAAAAGATTGCCTAAGCCATGTTTTCAGTATCTACTATATAAGATTGGAGTCACTGAAGGATCATCCATCTTGAGAGCACAAATGGAATGGTAAGAACAGAGAAGCCAAGTCCACCTCTTTTATGTCAAACTTCAAGTAATGTGCTAAGTTTATCTCTTGTATTTTGTGTTATCTTAAGCTAGAAACTTATCCTATATTTTGTATAAATTTGTAGCTATTACGTTAAGTAAATAGTGAAGTATATTCTATCTTTAATCTTACCCTTTCATCTATGAATTGTGAGGATGATCTTGTAATTGAAAAATTGAAAGAAATGGAGCTTATGGATCTAAAACACTTGTAAGTGGTTTTGTCATGAATTTGGGCCAAATATGCTTTTGTTTTATGTCTAGGTAAAGTTACATGGCTGTTTTGGAATAATTCTTTTATTAAGTTCTTTAGTATGGTGATTTATGTAGTAACGGTCGTTTATTTTCCGCTGAAATGCTAGCTATGATATAGTATATGGAAGAGTTTATTTTTTTGGATTTGTTTAAGAAATATATGGAGAATATGTTTTTGGCTCGATGATACTTTGGCTAATGTGGGCGTGGACAGAAATTCAGCGGATGCTATAACAATTTGGTTAAAAACCTGGAGGCTTGTTGGACATATGTTTGAGGTTATTTTTCGGACAAGGACAATAGATATTTGATGGGATGATTTTCTGTGTTTGTTATCTCCATTTTTTTCAATCATATAGTGTTTTTGGTATTCGGATAATTTTGGGTGCATGAATTCGATCTATTTTTTGAAAGTTGTTTCCGTTCGTGTTGCTAGGTAGTTCTAGCTTTGCGACCATCTGGTTACTAAATAAAATTTGTTTGGCTTCTAAAGAAAAAACATTTATTCATAAAGATGAAAGAGCACAAAACTGGGCTGCGACCCTGTCAGTAGTAAGCCCATACAGCCTTGAACAAAGCAAAAGCTAACTTACAACATAACAATAGCAGTACATTTACCGACTTTCTGGCAAGCATAGACTCAACCATTTATTTAGTGGAAATTAAAAGCCGGCTAGCGGTGCTATTTTGGCAGTACAGTAGTTCATATAAAAACTACTGCACTTAGTTCTTCGCATAAACAACTTGTTTGATCGTGGAACTTGCTTTCTTAAACACGAATGGCCATCCACTCTCAGCGAGAGCCAAACGTATTTGTCCATCATCTCCATATCTTCCAATATTGCTGCATAAAGTTTTGCATGACTCACAGACTGAAGGACAGAAATTAAATTTGTAACCGAAATTACCCGACTTCTCAATTTTAAACAAACTTTGCAAAGTGTGAGGACCGGGGTTCCCTTTAACTCCATCAGTTGTCACCCACCATTTCCCAGTAGAAGTGTCATAATCGTCAATCTTCCACACAGTTGATGTTAGGCACAATCTGTCTCTGATGGGAACGAACTCTATGTTTAAATCAGTAGATAGGCGGACGATATCATCATTGGTGTCCAAATTATAAAATACTACTGGAATACCATTGTCCAAGTCGGATCGTCTTTGAACAACAATTTCTGGGCACTTTTGATCTGTAAGCCTGCCAAGAGCTAACCCACCACCACCAGCACCCCTTATTGCGGACACGACGTAATATTTCACCCCTGCTCGGAGCTCCTCACCATCAGTGTCAAGCACAGGCTCATTTGTAGCGTTGGCTACCCCAAAGAAATATGATTTTGTTGTGAAGGCAAAGAGAAGCAAAACTACAACAGTTGTGGTCTTCATGGTTAATACGTTGATCAATATGTGTTGTTTCTTATGCCGGTTGCTTGGTTTGCTACCTCAATTTATAGAGGTTGGAAAGGATTCGAAACCTCGATTAAAGGCCTTCCATTACTACCTCATAATCCATGAACGCCACAAACTTTCAAATAACACGTTTCAAAAATGGACTTGGGACCACGGTTATTTGAGTGGAGAAGGTTCAAGACTACATCTGAGAATTTTGATCAAATACTCAATTGTGGGACCATTTTCTTTTTATCTTACCTCTATGAGATAAAGAGACAAAAATTGGTATGGACCCTAGGCCCCATTCTTCTTTTATTTTCTTTTTTTTTTAAAATATATAATATATAGGTGAGGTGATATATCTGGTAAAAGTTTAGCAGCAACGTTTCTAGACGTACTTGAAATGGAATCTGAATTTAAACTGCTCGTCATAACTCAAGCATAAATTAAGGTAATTAGATAATGCTCAAGACCCAAATTTTTTTTTTTGGTATAAAGGTAGTCTTTTTTGTATAAACGCAGAGTAAGTTGTCTAATTTTAGTAACTTATTTTAATAAATCTTATTATAATAACTTTTTTTTTTAATCAATAGTCTGTTAACAATTTTTAAAATTTTTTTATGCAGGAGATTTATTATTATGATGATTGCAAAGCATATTATTTATATCACTACAAATCATGATGATAAAATAATGGATTGATCAACTACTTGACTGAAAAAAGACACTAAATAAAGAAAGTTTAAAAACTTATAGTTTATATTACACATAATTTTTTACAAGTAATTTTAAAGATTAATGCTTTTGTGGTGAGGGAATTATAATATATTTATAGATCTAAAAAGTTAATTAGAGCCGCTGTTACAAATTAAGATGTTTAACTTATTGATTCCATTAACAAAGGAAAAAAAAAAAAAGATAAAACTCCCCCAAAGCAATCTTTTCCAAGCACATCTTTTTTTTATTTATTCTTTGGGTGCATACAGTAATAACAAAGATCAAAGGACGAACAAACAAATAAGAAAACAGAAAATGTTAGAGGGGAGTTAATGGGGAATTTGCGGAAAAACTCCCAAGGAACTTCATACAGAGTTCTACCCTTGTGAAAACGTCTCTTGAGCAATGATTACATATGTAAATCATGACATCAGAAAAAATTAAATCAGTCCGTGACCACATATTATAAGCTTTCAACACTATGGGCTATCGAGTATGCCTAGTTTTTTTGTTAAATAAATCTAATAATTTAAAATACAATATGATTTTATAATATGAATATAGTAAAAAAAATGAAAGTAATAAGTTTAAAATTTTAGTAAAAATAATATATGAGTTTAATAAAAATTAAAATATATATTACGTGTTTTCTATATCAATATAAATTATAACATATAATTTTCAAACAAAACATTATATGAATACATAAATTATCAATATTTTATATGAATCTCCAAATCTATTAGGTAAGGAAGTGAAAGTAAAAAATATTAAAAGGAAAAATTATTGTTTAAATTCTTGAACTTTTTATTGGAGCTTTTTTTGTTTTTTATTTTTCTAATAGAAAGTGAAAGAATAAAAATAAAAATAAAATAAAAAACAAGAGAAAAATAGAAAAACAAAAAACAAAAGTACTAATCAAATGGAGCTTTAATTATTTGTAGAATTCCTATATGTTTTATTTCGATGATTTTTGAGTTGTAATTGCTTTCCCGCCCTTTTTTTTTAACGAAGCAATTACCTAGTGCATAGCACATCCGACCACAAAACATAATTAAATTTGGGATTAGGCTTTGATGAAACTCTTTAAATAAAGTTTGTGAAGTTTTTTTATCAAAAACGATCATTTACAAAATTTATTGATTGATAGAGTTTGATAAAAAGATTAATAATATTAAAAAAAATATTAATAATATTGATAAAGTTTAATGGTAGGAGAGCTAGAGGAAGCAAAAGTGGTTCGAAATCACAATGAACAGTTGAATCTCATTAAAGAGAAAAGACTTATAGTGCTTTGCTATAGTCAATTGTATCAGAGAAGGATGATGAGAGCACATGATAAGAAAATTCACCCTCATCACTTTCAAGAAGGAGATTTAGTGCTAAAAAGGATCATTCCAAGTCAACATGATAATTGAAGAAAATGGACACCAAATTGGGAAAGTTCGTATGTCATGAAAAAGGCCTTTTCGGTGGGGTATTGATTTTGACAGAAATAGATGGAAGTGAATTACTTACTTCGATAAATTCAAATATTGTAAAGAAATATTTTTCCTGAAAAAAAAATTAAGAAAAAAAATTATATATCTAAGTTAAAAACCTGAAAAAAAGTGGCTTAGATGTGAAGAAGAAGCATTATCAAGAGAAGACCTTACAACGCAAGGGTAAATGTTGTTTGATAAACTCTAAAGAATCAAAGAAGTCATTTGATTTAATTTTGGAAAAAGAATCCGAGAATATTTTGTTCATAACTATCTTGTGATCATTATTTCAGTACCTTTGTTTCGACCTAAATACATTTGTGGCCATGCATTTATTATCAACATAATGAAATATCCTTTCTTTACTTTGGAAATAATAACTATCCATTCTTTTACCTCATTCGATATCTTTATTCACCTTACAAATGAACAAGAGAAATATATGATTGCATTTTGTTTGTGTTAAACTTAAAATGACAAAAACAAACAAACATGATAGATCTTAGTATTACTTTCTAAAAGTTGATAAAAGTAGATGAAAAAAGACTAGAAAAGCATGTTGCAGACTTCTAAAAAAGAAAAATATTATTGAGAAAGAATACAATAGTCAAACGTTAAGAACAAATTGGTCATATAGCGATTGCTAAGAATTTTTATAAAAGAAGCAAAAAGGTGAGAAATTTTAATGAGCCTTTATAGACACCTATTTGTGTCTGGGCCCGTTTGGGTCTTTTTTTGTCCGGGCCGGTTTGAGCGCATTTGTGTTCGGGGCCATTCGACCCCATCTGTGTATGTGTCCGTTTGGGGTTGGACCCAATTACATTTGAAGTAGTAGCTCGATTAGGCTCGTTTGTGTCAGGGTTTGATTGGGTCGATTTCTTTTACATTTTTATTTTTTTTTACTTTTCTTTTCTTTTTTATAGATTTTATAGTATAGTACAGTATAGTATTATTATTATTATTATTATTATTATTATTATTATTATTATTATTATTGTTATTATTATTACTATTATTATATTTTTTTTATTTTTATTTTTTTCTTCTTTCTTTCCTTCTTTCTTTTTTTGTTCTGATTTTATACGTGAGCAGAAATAAAATCAAAATCAGAATCTTGCTGGGTCAAACCTTCAATGCTAGATTGTATCAACAGGAGATTGCTAAAATTTTAGACCAAAAATCATGTTGGACAAAACGTAATCCCAGGATTTAAGCCTAGGACTAACTCTGTTCGATTCCTAAAATTACTCCTAAAAGCTGCTTATAAATTAGATTGATTCTAACAAACAAAGGACACACAAAAAATAGAGAGAAAATTATTAAAAGAAGGTCTGGGAAATTTTGGGCATAAAGGGTTCTAAAATTTAACCTTGAGATTTTAGGGCTTAATTTGTGGTTCTGGGCGTAATTGTGGGTTTTTGAAGGTGAATTTAAGGTTGTAGAAAGTTTGGGGAGGATTTAGAACTGACTATGAGGTTTTTTGGATTTTTTTAGATTTTTTTTTTGAATTTTTCTAGAATTTTTTGGGTTTGGTTGAATTTTTTGGTGAAATATAAATTTTCGATGAAGTTTGGGTGACTAGTTGAATTTTTTTATCACATTCTGGCCAACTTCTTAGAAACTGGTGGCTTTCTAGTTTTCGATTGAATTTTTTCATAACTTTTCCAGAAATCGATGGATTTTTTTATCTTGGTTAAAGCTTTTGGTGAAACTTTTTAGAGAGAAGGTAGAAGTTTTTTTACTAGAGATAGAAAGGCTTTAGGATTTTTGAGGAAAAACATGAAAAGGTACCTTTTATATTGCTCCGGAACGACATCGTTTTGGATAAGCCAGGATTCACACACAGACCCGACGACTCGCGTTTTGACCCTCGCTCTAACTTGACCCAATCGCAGGTTTTCTCCTTTCCCTTTTTTTTTATTTTTTGATTTGATTTAATTTTATTTTATTTTTCACCCATTTTTGTTATTTTTCTGGTTTTATTTTTAAAACCAAAATGCAAAAAAAATATTTCTGCTACTGGTATTCCTAAATAATAAAAAAATATATATCTTTTTAAAAAATATATATATATAAAATAAAATAAAATAACCTTTGTAAATAATGTTGTAAAAATAATAAAAAATGTAATTTTTTTTTGAGGTTGTATTATTTTCTTTATGTAATAAAATTAATAATTCAATGTTAAATTATTTGGTAAATCAAAAAAATGATCAAAGCTTGGATAATTCGAAATCAAACTGGTATCATCCTTTGGATAGCCATTATGGGGGTGCTACAACCTTTTTCATACGCAATTGACTTTCAAACCTAACTTCTGTTTTATAGACCAGCTTTAATCGGGTAGGCAATCACACATAACTAAAAAAGATTGGTGACGACTCCTTTCATCAAAGTCTAGCGGTAGGTCTACGGATCTATACGTTATGACAGTTTGATGACTCCATTGAAGACAAATTATAAAGTCAAGCCAGTAAAAGAGTTTTTATTATCCATGCCTTGTTTAACAAATTTGAAATTATCCCGTTTCATTGCTTATATCTACTTTATTATTTATTACATAATTGTTTATTCGTTTGCCTTATTATTCATTACTTATATTTGCTTAAATATCTGCTTATTATATCTGTCATTTATTTGTATGTGCATAACATAAGTCTTCTACCCAAGCTCTACCTTTAGGAAAGAGTGAAGTACCTATGCCTTCATGAAATTTCATGTCTCTGCATAGGCTTGTGAAACACTCCCACTCAGATCAAACTAACATTAGACGGTTAAACTACCCAGACTTGTTGACTTGACCATTGACCGGTTCAGTTTATGTAAAAAACAATTTTTGAATTTTTGAAAATTTTTAAAAAATAGATTAAATATTAATTAATTTTTTAAATTTAATTTTAGTTATATTGTAATATCGATAAATAGTATTACAAAAATGAATATGTTAGAATAAATTTTGTTAATGTAAATAA